GTTAACATCCTCCCCCCTCCCCCCAAAAAAGACCAGGTTAAGATCCTTCATCCCAGCAGCGCTGAATTCAAATTAAATTTGCTAAGCGCTGCATGTAAAACGCTCGATTCTGATGAGCTGAAAATTCCCAACTTAAAACTAAGTTCACATCCTCCCCCCTAAACGTGTTTAGGGTGATAATGTTAACTTGGTCAAGACGCTGTTTTGGCCGTATTTCTTACGCCGCAGGCAAGCTTTTGAAAAAACAGGTAAAAAAGCCGTTTTTGGTCACTTTTTGGAAAATCTTGACAAAAGAATTGGGCTTTTTTTGGCGCGAGCTCCCACTCAAAGTTAGTATATATTGGCGCCAAAGGCCCTTTTAAAAAAAACTAAGCGTCGGTCGGCGAAAATGGATTTTTAAAAATAGTACAAAGGGGGTACCCTTCGGGTCGGCAGGGGGTCAAATCCCTAAAGAAGGAGTAAGCGTCCACTACCCCCCCAGCCCCCCCTAAATCCGGCCCTGGTTGAGATGGTCTCATAAAAAGTTTCAAATAAAAAGCAAACGAAAAATTGATTTTGTCTCAGGATTCTTCAGATGCACACGCAACAAACGGTGCGCCTCATAAAGGTACAAATTGTCCTCATAATGAGTTCTGTGATGAGTACTAGAATTGAGTGCGACTATGTCCACCGACAAGTAGCATCTGAAATATTTTCGCCAAAGAACTCGAAGGACCAGCGGGGAACCAGCGATCTGATAATGACTAATGTATGATTGATTCTTTGTTTTAATGTGCTCCTTATTTATCACTCTAACCGCAATTCCATTCAGTCTGTCGCCATTTATTATCAAAATTGTCTGTGTGGCATTCCAAAATTCCTCAGATGAATTGCAAAATACAATTTCAAACTGCTTATCAGTTAATATTTCGTGATAATTGGTAACTTAAGCTTAAGTTCAAGTTTGGTTCATTGAGCCTATACCCTTGCATATTTATGTATGCCAGAGTCAGTCATTTGACTTGTAATAGTTCTACGATTATGAGTGGAAAATCCAGGATGAAATATTTTCTCATCATACAACAAACAATAAAGATCAATAAAGATCAAGAAATTACTGACGCTAATTATCAAAGAAAGTCAATCCAATTTCGGCGCCAAATTGTCTGCAACTGCAAATTAAACAATTATTTTGTCACCAAAACGTCTAAATTTCAAATTTTCTCTCCCAAAACTTTTAAGTACCATTTATAATTGTAAAAGTTCGCCGTTTATTTTTTGTTTGTCACACTTAATATGTTGAAACTTAATCATTTTTTTGGCACTGTTGAACAAATATTTCAATTTCGGCATTGTTGTACTGCCCCTGTGTGATTATTGATATGGAGATCTTAGGATTGCAAGCAGGTGCCTTGCAACTAGCCTAATTGCGGCTGGAGGTAGTTTATTAAATAGTTATAGTTTCAACGTGCGAAATAATCAGGCGAGTTATCCCTATATACCGCACTCTTACTCGTTCCAAACTGAATTGAGGCTTACTAATTGGTCATTTTAGTGCGAATTAATTTGAAGTATTTTAAATGGGTTATTGGCAGCCCAAAACTCATAGTTCATCAAATTTTTGTTTTTATAAGTTTTTTTGAAACCAATTAAGCAGCAGTCGTTAAAAATTTTGCAACTGCTGAAAAACTATCTTTTTACCCAGCAAATAAACTTTGAGTTGCAGGGTATTTGCTTGTGGATTTAACAAACATTTGGTAGTTGGAGTTGCGGTTGAGTTTTGACCTGAAAAATCGTGAAAATATAAATAACTGACAGAAATGGTTTCTAAAAAAAGTAGATATTATTTTTTTTCCATGCAGATCATACGTCGCACGCAGTATGGTGCATTGTATGAAACTTTTTTTCTATGGACAAACCCCAATATTTGACATAAGAAACCGATGCAAACAAAATCAGTTTTGATGCAACTTCTTGTGATCAAAATATTTCCTTAGTATAAGAAAGTTGAGATCAAGATCGGATCTAGGATTTTCTCGAGGGGGGGGGGGCGGATTTTCAAAAAAATTTCGAAAATTTTGACGAACTTTTTTTAGGTCGACCAAATTGAATTTCCGAGCTCTGCTAAAGCACTAAAAAGACGCTGGTTTCAAGTTAACATCCTCCCCCCTCCCCCCAAAAAAGACCAGGTTAAGATCCTTCATCCCAGCAGCGCTGAATTCAAATTAAATTTGCTAAGCGCTGCATGTAAAACGCTCGATTCTGATGAGCTGAAAATTCCTAACTTAAAACTAAGTTCACATCCTCCCCCCTAAACGTGTTTAGGGTGATAATGTTAACTTGGTCAAGACGCTGTTTTGGCCGTATTTCTTACGCCGCAGGCAAGCTTTTGAAAAAACAGGTAAAAAAGCCGTTTTTGGTCACTTTTTGGAAAATTTTGACAAAAGAATTGGGCTTTTTTTTCCGAGCTCTGCTAAAGCACTAAAAAGACGCTGGTTTCAAGTTAACATCCTCCCCCCTCCCCCCAACAAAGACCAAGTTAAGATCCTTCATCCCAGCAGCGCTGAATTTAAATTAAATTTGCTAAGCGCTGCATGTAAAACGCTCGATTCTGATGGGCTGAACATTCCCAACACAAACCCAAGTTAACATCCTCCCCCCTAAACGTGTTTAGGGTGAGAATGTTAACCTGGTGCAGACGCTGTTTTGGCCGTATTTCTTACGCCGCAGGCAAGCTGTTGAAAAAACAGGTAAAAAAGCCGTTTTTGGTCACTTTTTGGAAAATTTTGACAAAAGAATTGGGCTTTTTTTGGCGCGCGCTCCCACTCAAAGTTAGTATATATTGGCGCCAAAAGCCCCTTTAAAAAAAACTAAGCGTCGGTCGGCAAAAATGGATTTTTAAAAATAGTACAAAGGGGGTACCCTTTAGGTCGGCAGGGGGTCGAATCCCTGAAGAGGGAGTAAGCGTCCACTACCCCCCCAGCCCCCCTAAATCCGGCCCTGGTTGAGATGGTCTCATAAAAAGTTTCAAATAAAAAGCAAACGAAAAATTGATTTTGTCTCTGGATTCTACAGATGCACACGCAACAAACGGTGCGCCTCTTAAAGGTACAAATTGTCCTTGTAATGAGTGCGACTATTTCCATCGACAAGAAGCATCTGAAATTGTTTTCGCTAAAGAACTCGAAGGACTAGCGGGGAACCAGTGATCTGATAGTGAGTATTGCATGATTGATTCTCTGTTATTCCGACTTTCGATACGAAAGTAACGGAATATTTGTGCTCGGTTTGGGTTTTTTTTTCTTCAGACAATTTTCGACTTTTAACTAGCCATTTTTGACGGAATTTTTTTATATCATTCAAAAGCCATTGTTCTACTGAGGTTAAATTTGAAAAGATATTTCACTTGTGATCGTTTTTCGTAAAGTTATGAGGGTTTAAAGATTGCCATTTTGACAACCCGGGTTGACCTCCATAGACCGAAAATGCTAATCATACAATTTCATACACTTAGTCTATGGAAAAATGCTAGTCATAAAAGTTTCAAACATTTTTGCAAAATGAGTTCAATCGAATTTCAAAGGTATATTATAGTTGTTTTGGTATTGAAATTGGTATCTCTTCATAAAAAAAATGAAAAAAATGGTATGAGAAAAAATGCTAACCATACAATTTCCATATATGGAAATTGTATGATTAGATTTTTTTGAACGTTTTTTTTTTGTGAAAAAAAAGCTTTGAACAATCACTTCAACTGCTGGCAGAACATTTCAGCGTTTTTTGGGCTGCTACGACTGAAAACTTTGACTTTTTTAATTTTTGTTATCTGAAAAAAAAACTAGTCATACAATTTCCATATATGGAAATTGTATGACTAGCATTTTTTTGATGACGACGACAAAAAATTCGACGACGACAAGTATTTTTGAAATTGTCCACAAAAATTTTTGTGTTTCTTTTCCAACCGCAAATTGATTTTCGTATTCAAACAAACATTTTGTGTATAGTTGTGTATAATTTGTGTATAACGTAGTCCTGGATATACTAATATTGGATTTTTTTCCTTTTCTCTTCATAACTTTTTTTCAAACTTGCTTAAAACTCCTCTTTCTTTTGTATGACATGTTTTTGTATCCCTTGATCAATGTCTGGTAATTTAAAAATTCAAATTTTAGAAATAATCATCTTTGAAAATTATTGCCAAAACTTAAAAGTTCATTACTTTCGTTATAATATTCGTCTGAGACAGAAGTAACACAAATCAGGCTGTTTCCAATGCATTATAAATATTATAAATGCGAGACGGCCAAACCGTCGGTTACTACGTTTGAGTAATCAAGGTGTATGTCATTTGTGTTCGGTTACGAACACAACCAAAAAATTTTGAGAAATCAAAGTGTAAAAAATAATAATTTTTGGTAAATGGAAAAATGCTAGTCATACAATTTCCATATATGAAAAAAAAACTAATCATAGACTTTTCATGCAATTTTCTGTACGTATGGAATTGTATGGAAAGTGTATGACTGAGCGTGTGGGGGGATGATTTTCATGAAAAAATTCAAATTTTGGAAAAAAAAATTCATTTTATTTTATTTCTTTTAATTTTTGATGTTATTACTGCTGCTCCATAAACCTTAAAAGGCAGTCAAAACATTCAGGGCTTCGCCCTGATACGAGCAGTCTTGTTTTAATGTGCTGTTTATTTATCACTCTAACAGTTTCATTCAGTCTGTCGCCATTTATTATCAAAATTGTCTGTGTGGCATTCCAAAGTTCCTAGATAATTTGCAAAAGACAATTTCAAACTGCTTATCAGTTAATGTCTTGTGAAGATTGGTAACTTAAGTTCAAGTTTGGCTCGTTGAGCCTATACATTTGCATATACATGACATGGCATAGTCATTTGACATGCAATGATTCTACGAACAAGAGTGGAAAATCCAGGATGAAGTTTCATTAATCATACAACAACAATCACAGCTTTGAAACACAACACAGACACTGATAGAACACGTGTTAGGCTTTTTCTACAAGGTTTTCTGGAGACATATGCTTCTCAACTTAGATCTAAATTCTGATTTTAATTGTTCTATATTTGATATTTCAGCCGATAGAATTGGCGCTATGGTTATGGTTGAAAATGGGTTAAACTAAACTTTAATGATCGCAAACATCTTTCAAAATGGCCGAACAAAGCTGCGCTGAGTTGTTTGAGGTGACCTCGCAACGTTTGAAGCTCACTCTCATTCGAGGTGTTATTTGCCAATCGAAATTCTGAGTCCGCACAAATTATGCAGTTTTCTCTATTGTCTGATTATACTGGTATCCTTTGTCGTGAAATTGAAAAGTTAACTTTCATTCATACTTCGCTATTTTTTTACATGCCACCAGATAGGTTTAAATTTTAGATCAAACTCACTACGAACTTACTTTCAAGCTTAGCATATCTACTCAAAACCAGACCAACAGAATAACCTATTAGTTATCAAAAAGGTCATTTAGCATCTGAAACGGAATTATTTTATATTTTTAGGAGACTGACAAATATGATAGTTAGTCATTGATTAGCTGAAGTCAACTATTTATTATTTATAACTGAGTTATAATGGCGTCTAAGTCTAGATTTCATTTGGACTTGCACAACAAATCGACAGGCCACCTGCCTTTTCTTTCGTCTGTCGAGGGGAAATCACACGCAGAAGGTATGGGTTGTTCAACGAAAGGGCTTTGCTTTATTCCCCCTATCAATTTCTGGATGGATTTTTGACTTTTTCTTAGAGCTGTCGCAATTTTTCAAATATACTTTCTTTGCAAAATAATTTTTCTGGCGGTAAACAGATAACAAGTGTGCTACATGATATTTAAGAGAAAAAAATTGCAACTAAAATGCCATTGATTTTTTCAACTTGATTATAAAAAAAATGTTGTGAAAAATGAGCACACTCAATTTTGCGATCAAAAAATTTAGGCTCCGAAATGCACACCAAAGTTCACGCCATTCTACAGTCATGGAACAAAATAGTCGCAATATTTTCATTTAAACAAACGAATGAATTTTTCCTTTTGTTTTAGTCGTTTTCTCTTGGACTTTTTGAGATAAAGGTTTAAAATATCGATACAGAGAATGATGAAACTATATAGTAGAAGTTAGCTGGAACAAAAATCATAGTTTGAAGCCAGTATATCATAACTAGTTTCAGGGGTGCTCTTGCTTTGGAAACATCTTGCGCTCTAATTGATTCTTTGGGATGCTGAGGAGCTTGATATACTCTTTGTGCCGCCAGAAACGACATACAAAAATTGTTAGAGTTACTTTGTTTGGCGCTACTTAGTCTGGCTTTGGCGATACAGACATTAGAAGATCTTCGTCACTTTTACCAGAAAGTTAGACTATAACTGCTCATGAAAATCCTGTGCCCAGATTGTAGCTATCATTTTTCCGAAATACTTGCTGGAAACGTTGTTTTGATGGCTGTTTCTTAAGCTATCAGTGCAAAATTACTCATTAATATTGAGTTGTTTGTTGACTACGTAACTTTCAATTCTTTTTTGCCTTTATTCCGCGGCATAAAGAGTTATTCAAGCTCATTCGCTCCCATTAAGAACCAACTTCAAGTTGTTTCTGTTGTTTCCCAAGATTTTCAAAAGCAAGAACACCTCCCAAACTAATAATGGTATACTGGCTATTTTATGCCCACAAAACAAGAGTTTTTCATATTTTGATCCCGCCAGCTCCTTCCAAATAGTTCTATCTAGCAAGTCGAAATTTCAAACCTGTAGATATCTCAAATACTTGCAGAGAAACCGGTTAAGATGTGAAGAAACGTTTCAACTATTGGGGTATCTCAAAAAAAGTTGAAGCAAGCATGATATGGCTGCTATGCCTTTTTTTAAAAAAAAAATATTAATAGTTCATCCTGTAAAAATGATTATAGTATTAATAGTTTTTATGCTTATACGTGAATGATGTTATAGCTGATGGGGTAGATGGAGGAACGGGGGGAGTTGCGTGCAGACTCTCTGTGAGAGACAAAGCGAGACGGTTTGACAGTATTGCGAACAGGAACTCACTGAGTGAGTGGAATCTGTGCAACACTGGCATCCACCACAGGGACCCCCCCATCCACATAACTGGCAGGCCCGAAGGTGAGGCTTCCTCTTTCAAACTTACAAACAAAATGATTATCTTACCAAGAGTAACTGTTTTCTATTCTCATAAGTATACTTTTGTGTTGACACATCACCTGAAATCTTTTTTGTTTACTCCTGCTGAAAACTAATCTGAAAATCAGAAATGTTCAGAAAAGAGTGGCCACTTTTGAGGGAAACTTTGAATGATAATTTTTTGAAACCTAAATTCTGACTCGACTGCAACAGCTTCAGCAGGACACATCGCCTTTTCAGCGTGTGTTAAACCACTTGCTACCAGTTTTCTAAACTCGCCCGAATGAAAAAAATAATAATACAGTTTTGATAAATTGAAAGATTCCTAGTGTTCTTGAATGTAACAAGTATTACACAAAATTTATCATTCATTTTATTTACACCGAAGACTTTAGTCAAGGTGTTATGGTATCGTGTAACGGGTTTTTTTTAATGTTGTCTGTTGTCAAGTGTCGACAAATAACGTCCACAGTTATCAATTATCATGTGGGCTGGACTATATCGCGCTATGTCACGTGATTGCGTATGTTTGTTTCTTTATTTGTTCATCTTTATTTATTTAATTATCTGTTCTTCTATTTATTTAATTATGTTTAGTTTGCTTATATTTATTTATAATTTATATATTTTAGTACAATTTTTAGTTCTAGAAGTGTTATTTTATGATCTTCGTTGATATATCAAAAATTAACCTATACATGTGTTAGTACGATTTTTAGTTCTAGAACTGTTATTTCAGGCTCTTTCTCGATATAGCAAAATTTTGGTGTATACATGTATTAGTACGATTTTTTGTTCTAGAACTGTTATTCTTCAATTATTAGTTGTTCAAGTTGTTTGGTTTTTGCTTCAGTTTCTATGCCTTCGTTGTATTGCGCGTAGCGCCTATGTTCTGAATTTTTTTTTAAAATACATTTTAAACGGACTATGTTTGTGGTCTAAAAATTATCTATAGAAATGGTTCCCATGTTGAACTCATCCAAAAAAATGTAATAAAACTTCGAATTCAAACCTTTTTTTTGAATTTAAAAATAATTTTAATTCATTTAAAATAAAAAAACGATTTGTTGCAAGAATTTCTGACTATCAAATGAACAATGCGGAAATTTTCAAACTGCGAAATAAATTTCCGTTGACCTCTCCCCCTCCCCAACGTTTGCCATTTTTTGCCTCAACACCTGAACCACTCCATCCCCCACCTTATCTCGGAACCCCCCCTCCCCCACTTGAAACAAACCCCCGTATGACCACCTGAAGCAGCTGAAGTACCCCCATACACACACCTGAGTAAAGCCCCCGTGCCAGAACCAACCCCCTCCCCCTGCCCCTCCCGGTTTTGTTCTGGCGCGGGGGATGGGGGGGGGGGGGGGTTGGTTGTTTCAGGTGGGGATGGTGTAGGTTGTTTTGGTCTTTTTTTTTTAAAAAAAAGGAGAGAAATGCCAATTTTGGAAAATTTAGCCAGAAACAATTGCATTTTTTTGGCTCGCGATCCCATGCAAAACAGTCCTTTTACAATTTTAAACCCCCCTCCCCTCCACCCACTCCACCCGCCGGAGTTTCTAAATAGTTTGAGAAAATTGTTAAAAAGAGCAAAAATCAAGGCTGCGCAGAAAAAAGATGAAATTGAACAACAAATAACCAATTGTAGGTTAATAGGTAGAAAATATTTAATGTACGTTGAAATTCGCATCTCAATAAAGTGGAAAAAATGTGGAAAAAATATAAATACAATTTATTGCCTGGCTTAATTGAAAAACACACAAAAGCAATTTTTTTTGTATCAAGCAGCGTTTCTTTACAGCGTGGCGAACGGTAGCTTTGTAAACTTGTTGTTCCGACTTTCGATATGAAAATCAAGGCTGCGCAGAAAAAAGATGAAATTGAACAACAAATAACCAATTGTAGGTTAATAGGTAGAAAATATTTTATGTACGTTGAAATTCGCATCTCAATAAAGTGGAAAAAATGTGGAAAAAATATAAATACAATTTATTGCCTGGCTTAATTGAAAAACACACAAAAGCAATTTTTTTTGTATCAAGCAGCGTTTCTTTACAGCGTGGCGAACGGTAGCTTTGTAAACTTGTTGTTCCGACTTTCGATATGAAAATCAAGGCTGCGCAGAAAAAAGATGAAATTGAACAACAAATAACCAATTGTAGGTTAATAGGTAGAAAATATTTTATGTACGTTGAAATTCGCATCTCAATAAAGTGGAAAAAATGTGGAAAAAATATAAATACAATTTATTGCCTGGCTTAATTGAAAAACACACAAAAGCAATTTTTTTTGTATCAAGCAGCGTTTCTTTACAACGTGGCGAACGGTAGCTTTGTAAACTTGTTGTTCCGACTTTCGATATGAAAATCAAGGCTGCGCAGAAAAAAGATGAAATTGAACAACAAATAACCAATTGTAGGTTAATAGGTAGAAAATATTTTATGTACGTTGAATTTCGCATCTCAATAAAGTGGAAAAAATGTGGAAAAAATATAAATACAATTTATTGCCTGGCTTAATTGAAAAACACACAAAAGCAATTTTTTTTGTATCAAGCAGCGTTTCTTTACAGCGTGGCGAACGGTAGCTTTGTAAACTTGTTGTTCCGACTTTCGATATGAAAATCAAGGCTGCGCAGAAAAAAGATGAAATTGAACAACAAATAACCAATTGTAGGTTAATAGGTAGAAAATATTTTATGTACGTTGAAATTTGCATCTCAATAAAGTGGAAAAAATGTGGAAAAAATATAAATACAATTTATTCCCTTGCTTAATTGAAAAACACACAAAAGCATTTTTTTTGTATCAAGCAGCGTTTCTTTACAGCGTGGCAAACGGTAGCTTTGTAAACTTGTTGTTCCGACTTTCGATACGAAAGTAACGGAATATTTGTGCTCGGGGTGGGTTTTTTTTTTCTTCAGACAAATTTCAACTTTTTAACCAGCCATTTTTGACGGAATTTTTTTTATATCATTCGAAAGGTATTGTTATTGATATTTGACTTGTGATCATTTTTGGTAAAGTTATGGGGGTTTAAAGGCTACCATTTTGGCCAATTAGGGACAATTAACGCGCGATATATTTTGCGCTATTTACGCGTAAGCGGAGAGTTAATCCGTCTTAGAAAACGTTCCAAATTGGTTAAAAGCTGCTTATTTGCCATAATTGGTTTGTTACAAGGAGCAAAATCTATCCTTTTGTACCTTATATGGCGTGTGGGGGGATGATTTTCATTTAAAAATTTCACATTTTAGAAGAAAAAAAATTTCCTTTGTTTTTTTTTTTCATTGAATTTCTTAATGTTCTTACTGCTCCATAAACCTCAAAAGGCAGTCAGTTGGAACAGTCAGGGCTTCGCCCTGATACGAGCAGTTTTGTTTAATTTTTGTTTCTATTTTGATCCGAGAAACCAGAAAATTTTGAAATTTGTGTTTCTTGTTGCGCAGCAGAGCGTACACCAAATGTACAAATACTTTTTTCGAACACATGATATTTGCTATGAACTTGGTAGAAAACATCTAGTGCCTCTATAAACGTTCCGTAACACTGACAGATGTGGGAATGAGAAAGAAAATTATGTGTGCATGTTATATTCCAAGACAAAACTTGAGCGTTCGATTCACCAGAGTGTTTGTAAAGGAACGTATCTCCATTGAGTGGCTTCGGGTAGGTTTGAAACTTTGTCGCCGCTTGGGTTTAGAAATAAGTCCAAAGCTTGCAGTCCTGTTTTTTTCATACACCGGAGAGATGTCGGGTAATTCGGATTTTTCGGCGCTGCATGATCAGGCAAGTTGTTTTGTTCGGTGAGGACAACTGTTGGGAAGCGTTATTGTTCCGACTTTCGATACGAAAGTATCGGAATATTTGTGCTCGGGGTGGGTTTTTTGTTCAGACAAATTTCGACATTTTAACTAGCTGTTTTCGGCGGAATTTTTTATATCATTCGAAAGCTATTGTTGTCCTGAGCTTGAATTTGAAAAGATATTTTACCTGTGATCATTTTTCGTAAAGTTATGGGGGTTTAAAGATTGCCATTTTGGCCAATTTGGGACAATTAACGCGCGATAAATTTCGCGCTATTAACGCGTAAGCGGAGAGTTAATCCGTCTTAGAAATCGTTCCAAATTGGTTAAAAGAAGCTTATTTGCCATAAATGGTTTGTTACAAGGAGCGAAATCTATCCTTTTGTCCTTTATATGGTGTGTGGGGGATGATTTTTATTTAAAAAAAATCAAATTTTAGAATTTTTTTTTTTCATTTTGCTTTAATTCATTGAATTTTTTAAATGTTATTACTGCTCCATAAACCTTAAAAAGCAGTCGAAACATTCAGGGTTTCCAAGATGAGTTCTTGCTCTTTGTCCAAATAGTGCATCGCTTTGCAGGTTTCGAATGAGTTTTGCCATTCAATAGGGTCGCTCTTAACTACGAGTACTCTTAACTTCCCGGTTTTAATTACCGTCATAAAAAAAGATGCCTGATTCTGCGTTCAAGTCATCAGTATTCCTTTATGTACGTCGTATTAGTAAAAGTGAATGCATGAATGTAATTCAGACTATAATCAATCATTAGCTTAATCTTGTTAATTATGAGGTTAATTGACGTTGATTGTGTTACTGTATCAACTAACTACAAAAGATCCAATGTTCCAAACTCGGTATTGCTTTCTGGCTGGACAAAGATGTAAGTGCAATTAGTTTTTCTTGTAAAGCAGCCTATTTCTTAAATCAGTCTTTCAATCAAAAAACCAAAATTTCCATTAAGCGATTGCGCTACCTTAATCCCAAAGCATGATAAGAATGTCATGTAAATGTATTACCAGTAAATGTTTTACCAGTAACCAGTACTTTTTACCAGTAATGTGTTACCAGTAAATAGCATGCGATTGTCGCTGATTTTAAATTTTAGAGAGTTTTTGTCGGGTTCATTTTTTATTGAGCAACTACGCTTATTTTCATATTGTTTTCGTTTTTGAAAACCTCTTCGTTTTTAATTCAATATTGGTTCTGACGTGTTTTAGCTAGTTTTTCTCTATGATTGAGTTTTTATCGAGTTTTTTTTATTTTAGCAACTATTTGTTCCAAATTTCGATACGAAAGTAACGGAATATTTGTGCTCGGGGTGGATTTTTTTTTCTTCAGACAAATTTCGACTTTTTAACTAGCCATTTTTGACGGAATTTTTTTTATCAATCAGAAGTATTGTTGTCCTGAGCTGAAATTTGAAAAGATATTTCACCTGTGATCATTTTCGTAAAGTTATGAGGGTTTAAAGATTGCCATTATGGCCATTTTGACCAATTTGGGACAATTAAGGCGCGATATATTTCGCGCTATTAATGCGTAAGCGGAGATTTAATCCGTCTTATAAATCATTCTAAATTGGTTGTACGAAGCTTATTGGTCATAACTGATTTGTTACAAGGAACGAAATTTCTCTTTTGTATTTTATATGGCGTGTGGGGGGATTATTTTCATAAAAAATTTCAAATTTAAAAAAAAAAAATTTTCGTTTTTTTTATTTCATTTAATTTTTTAATGTTATTACTGCTGCTCCATAAACATTAAAGGCAGTCGGAACATTCAGGGCTTCGCCCTGATACGAGCAGTCTTGTCTAATTTTGGAATTGCTTTTTGGTTTTAAAAAACTCTTCGTTTTTAATTTAAATTTGGAACTTTTCAAAATAATTTTTACATGTGCGTTTGAAAAAATTGAGTTAATAATAATAAAACCGTTTTATCATAATTTTGATGTTTTGTCGTTTGTGAAAATTTTTTTGCACGCAAGTTTGTAATAAAAATTTAATTGTCTGAATAGTTTGTCAATTTGTCTTTCCCATTCTGTCTGAGTTTTGAAACGGCTAGGATCTCTAACTGATTCGCGCAAACGGGGTAAACTACACATAAAATTTTGTTTATTTTTGGCTGAAGACAAAACGGTTTTGTGAGTTTTTTGAAAGTTTATTAGAAAGGATAAAATCAATCAGTCAAAAAATCTGGTTTGAATGTTGCGAGTTGCACAAAAAAAATACATTTGATTAAAACTAGTGAAAAAGACTAATTGTAGAGTAGACTCCGTCTTTCTTTTTTATGCCTGGTGTACTTTTCACCAAAAATGGTTGTCATTTTTTAAATTTCATAAATTTTTCTGCAAAAACGCATCATGAATTACGAAGTGTTTTGTTTTGTCCTTACTAATGCAATAATTGAATCAGTTAGTCCACCTCAAATCAGTCTAAAGTTTTTCTCATCTACCCAGGATAATTTTAAAGCTTACGCTAATAATTAGAACAATAGGAAATTTTGCGGGCGTTAATTATATTTTAGAAATTTATAGTTCCAAGCTAATTATAACTTGGAAATATCGAAACATTATTTCTAATAAAATGGTTGCTGGTGAAATTCATATTTTTCAAACTTGGATCTCAGGGAATCAGCGTGCAGATGATAAAAACCCATTGCTAAAAATATTAAAATCGAAACTTGTCTGAAAAAAAACCCTCCCGAGCACAAAGTGCTCGTCACTTTTTTCGACAGTTGGAACAAAAACCATGGATTTTTAGACAATTTGAATAATTGGGGAATTGTTGAAACATACCAGGTTCAATTCATGCTTTTTGTGGAGTTCTGAATATTAAATGATAAACATAGACAGCGGTTTACGAGATCTGAGTCTTATCAAGAGTTTAAACAGCAATTTGGGCACATTTGTGTTCAAACGCTTAATTCCCGAAGAAGTTTCAGTTTAAGAACAACTTACAGTTGCAAAATGTAGCTTATAGTTTGAGCATTCTAAAACTCTATTAAATTTAAATAGTATTTGTTCTTATCAAATTAGAAAAGTATTTTGATTTCTGACTATCTTTATGTTCCCGATTTTCAAGTACTGAGTGAGTCAGCCGTTGTTTTTTTTTCGCTTCGTGTTAGCAACTTGTTGTGTCCAAAATGAGGATGAAGTTTATACCTGAATATTTTTATCGACGATAGATCAGGAGCAACAAACTAGTATTATATGGTGCCAACTATCATGTCAAATTACAAGATTTAGACGCGACTCAAGCTCCAATTAAACAGCCCCAAAATTTTTTTCATTTTTTTTTGTCTGGCTAAACATGTCATTTTTTGGCTTTCATTTTTTTTGTTGTCTGGCTAAACATGTCACTTCGTTAGACGCGGCAACTTACGTCAGTGGACAAACTAAAAATTGTTATGCATTATTAATTTATTGAAGGCTAATTTTTGAAACTTATTTTGAGCACCCTTATCGAAAAAAAACTTTTTGCAAATACAGCAGCGGTTGGAGCTTGTTGACTTACTTGCACAGAAACCAGCCACCTCTGCTCTGGGTTTTCCGCTTTCTTTACTCTTGTGATTAAAATGCTTGGATTATTCTATCTTCGGGTTTGTTTGTTTTGTTTGCAAGAGCAGTCTTCACAAAAAAAGCAGCTTTCACATCAGTTGGTGCGGGTGAGTTTTTTCATAATTTTTTTTTTCACTCGACAGACAAGCTGCAGAAAAATCTTTCCAAAAAATTTCTACCGCCCAGAAAAAAACTGCCAATAATGTTTTAAAGTTAGACCTATTTAGAGTAGAGAGTGAATGAATTCAATCAAAAATTACAATGGCCTTTTTCAGGGGCGGATCTAGGATTTTCCGATGGGAGAGTCGGATTTTCAAAAAAATTTCGAAATATTTAATCTTTTTTAGGTTAACTAATCGAGCTCTCCCAAAGCGCTAAAAGGACTATGTTTTGGCCAAATGTTCTGCACCGCAGGCAAACTTGAAAAAAAAACAGACCATAAAAGGCGATTTGAGGCTTTTCTTGGAAACTTTGACCAAAAAATCGCGTTTTTTTCTCGGCGTGCGCTTTCCCCTCAAAATTAGTTAATAATAGCGCTGAAGGCACTTAAAAAATTTTTAGGATCCTTCCGCCAAAATGGATATCTGAAAATAAAACAAAGGGTGATGCTATGGGTCGACAGGGGGTCGAATCCTGGAGTCGCGCACGGGAATCTCACGCCCGCCGTACGAACAAACTACAACAAAATTATCGAAATTATTTAATTTTCTTTTTTTTTTGCATTTGTAGATGCAGCTAGTTCTTTTTATGTTATTTCAACAGCAAGTGTAACGAATAAACTACCATTTAAGCATAATTTGTCAAATTTTTTTTAGAAAGTATTTTATCAAAACGAGAGAAACTTCTGAAACAGATCTCGATGGAAAACGAAGTTCCAGAAAACGAATTGATGAGCCAAAGCTACGACTCCAAGTCGAACCCAGACGTGACCAGCCAATTTCACCAGGCGTCAAGAACCCCATCTACGAGCCACTGGAGGAAACTACCCCATCTTAGAGTCCCAGAGAAGACGGCTGGACCTAAGTTCTACGTTCCTCGGAGAACGGTCGGGTCCAACACTGACCGGAAGAAGGAAGTTGAAATTAATGAAGACCAACTTAGGAAATTGACCAATTCCACAGACGAAAATAAGCCCGTCCAGTCTCCAGTGTCCGCTAGACACAATTCAAAAGCAAACAAGCAGGTAATTTGCTCATCAAAATTAGTAAAACTGAAAAAAAAATCGCAATTTTATCAATCATTCGACCCAACGTTGTCAAATTTTCATACAAAATTCCTCAAATTTCTTCGAAAGTCGGAAAAAGCTTTGAGTATGTAAAAATCAACTCCACAAAGTCAGTGAAATTGGAGATTGTTTTCTTCAACTTTTAGATTGAGTTGCTAAATACAGTCATGGGGATAGAAGCTGCAAAAATCAAAAAGAACTAAATCTAGCAATCCAACGAGTTAAATGGCTGAACATGGTTTGATTTTTCTTGTTATTTCCATTTAACAGGGTTACTAGGGCTTTAAGATCTGTAAAAACAGTAAATTGTCTACCAAAAATGTTGTAGTTCCTAAAGTATTCCGAGCCCTAGACGACTGCTAACATTTCCAACTCTTAGTTAAATACTTCTTCTCCCCCGCATTTAAGAAACGGGAAGCGAATGAAATCGGCCGCCATCCTTGGGATCCGAGCTGTTCAAGGACCGCCCCTAAGCTATTGTCTCGCATTGCACATCGAAATGTTTTAATTCCACAACGTTTGTCAATTGTTTCTTTAGCGTTTCGAATGCTAACCGACATTCGTTCGTCCAGACGAATTCATTTTTCTTGCTTAGGAGCGGCGGCAGCTGCGCTGAGTATTCTGCGAGTGCTGGTAGATATTTATGAAGACTATGTATCGAACCCATAAATGACTTGAGTTGTGACAACGAACTCGGGGAAGCCAACTTATCAATAGGTTCCGTTTTTCGCACCAACGGTGTAATACCAGAATTCGTAATCCGGTGACACAACCATTCACATTCATTTCTCGCAAACCTACATTTTTTCAACTTAAGTGCCAAATTTATCTTATCAAGTTTTTTCAAAATTTTCTCCACTATGCGATATGCTCGTTTTCGGAACCCTTTGATATGAACAGAATGTCATCGACAAATGCGTGTGCACTTGGAAATTCCGAAAGGATTGCGTCCAAGACCCTTTGGAACTCCGCCGGCATGGTTGTTAAACAGTAGAATCCCGTTTCAAACCGGTACGTCCCCGTAGAGCGACCTCCTACTAACGAAAAATTGCGAGGTTGGTTAGTGCTTTCATTCAGCGGTATTTGTTCGCACGCAAACGTCAGATCCAGTGTCGTAAAAAACATCCCCTTGTTTTCGTTCACTTAATTTTTGTCCCACAATTTTCATCAGCTCCTCTAGATGGGTATCTGTTATTTATTTTTAGGAACTTGCTCATTCAATTCTCTTGATTCCAATGCAAGTTTTACCGACCCATCCTTTTTCACGGTAATGACGATCGGCGAGAAGAAGTATTTAACTGTGCTTTCTTCTAACTTTTGAGTATGTCCTTGTGCTAGTAGTTTATCAATCTCCTTATCTACTTTTTCTTGCAACGTATTGAGCACCCTTCTGCCCTTTTGTTGAATTGGCGTTAGGTTTTTGAAGACCTGGTTGGACCTTATAATTACGGATGCGCCCTAACCTGTGGAAAAGATTATAAAATTACTTACTGAAATGTTACTGCCAGTCATCGCGACCGTCTCCTTGCGCAGCGGCATCGACGTGCTTCTAGATATTGTGCTTATGTACTCCTTGCTCCGCTGGTGCTTGGACCAACATCAACCCCAGCTCCGGCATCAAATCCCGACCAATGATGGATAGTCAACAGCCTCCGATCACTTTGATAGCCGATTGAGTTGTCTATCCGTTGGGTTGAAATTTGACCACCATCTTGCCCACAAGTTTCAGCGGATTATTTCCATAATCTCGGAACTGATCAAATTTTGGATCTAATTGCTGCAGCTGCACCTACAGTTTGTCGCCGCGACTTTCACTTCCTCCTCCTATTTTAGCCTGATTGACATGACGACGTAATCAGTTGAACTATCTCAATGCCAACTGTGTGCCACCGCATTTGGGTCGATTACCCATCCGACGGAACTTCCATAGTTCGATGCGTGGAGTATGCTCTCCCTTGGTTCCTCTTCGTGAATTAAACCCACGCGTTCCCTTCCTGATGCTCTGCGACCACGGCACGTACGTTCATACGTCCGGTTCTCCGACAACAATTACACATAGCATTCCGTGCTGGACACTTAGCAAGATGTTCCGGTGTAAAACCGCTCTGATCACAATTAAAACACTCGCGATACGCTCCGCCGCCGCGGTTATTTCCTCTTCGAAACCATCGGCCGCCCCGTTGGAACGGTCGGCGATAGCCACCTTGAATGGCGCTTACTGGCTCCGTCCTGATCTGAAGCGCCTCCGCCGGCGCCGCCGCGAGTCCGCAACCGGAAACTTTGTACGTCTTGGCGTATTTGTCTCCCCGCTGGTATCACAGAGCAATTCGGTACACATCATCGGGAGTCTTGGTCGAGCGACAGAGGTCAGTTTGCTTCTCCTTATTTGACATATTTACTATAAATACGTCGCGTAAACTCCATCGCTCCAGAGTTCCCAGGTCGCATCTGGCTGCTAATCCACTCAAAACCGAGTGAAACGTTTCCAGTGTCTCCCGCTCCCGCTGCTGCCGGGATAGTAATTGAAATGTCTCGGACGTTTCGTTTCTCTCCTTATAAAGACGCTCTCGAGTTCGTCCATTACTCGCGGGTATTGGGTAGCCGCCAAATCCAGATGGGGTTTTCGGTTGTGGAGTTCATCCTGACCGCGCTCCACGATACAAACGTAGAGATTAGAAATCAGTGTTTACTTCGCCTCCATGAGATTTTTTCCACTCACTTCCGCTGGGAGATCCGCAATTTGCGTCTCCGTTACTGTCCTGGCGTAGTAAAATGCCATTAGGTTAAACGAATAAAGCTATTACCCCCAGGTAAAACGAGTAATCCAATGCTCCCATAGCATTGGTGCTTCCGCGTACTTGCTTGGCCAAAATGCCGTAATTCCAAGTGGATCATTTCCCGTCCCCGCGCCCTATTCTGCCGACTGCGCCATGAGGAAAACGCGCATCAATAATGTAAATTTCTTGTCAACAAGTCGACAACTTCTTTTGTAAACTCTTAGTAATTCAACTGTTTTAGATAACAGGCACACACAACGTCAGCTGACAGATATTTAATTAATTAGCACCAAGTTCTTGGACAGCACCAGTAGCGCCAGAAAAGAAACTCAATAAAAAATATAAACAGTCTAACGGAGGTTATTTTTTTAGGTTGCAATGAGTGCCTGTATCCAGCACCCTTTAAGCTATGGTTTACTTGCAAGAGCTCACCTTACAAATTGCAGCGCACGTGCGATTTGAACCAGCAATTGCATGATTGCTTGGCACCATAACTACCGGAGCGCCACAATTCCACAGCTATGAAATAAATTTGTTTTCTTGCTTACAGCTAAGAAATAACTTAGGTATAAGCAATTTTCGGCAGAATAAAATTGATGTTCATGGGTCCTTGTGGCCAAAAAAGTCAATATGTTTTCGAAAGAATCGACTATGAGGGATTTTTAAATATTATTAAAATTAATTTTAATCCTATAAAAATCCATTTTCATGGATTCTGTAGAGTGCCGAGGGTGGGGGCGGGGTAGGGGGTTTTCAGTTAACTCTGGTTTCCAAATTTTTCCAATTGTACCTCTTCGGTGTAAGTTCATGACCAAAGTTTCCAAAAAGTGCCTGTAAACGCCTTTTTGGCCTGTTTTTTGAAAAAAACTTGCCTGTGTGCAGAAATTTTTTACCAAATAGGGTCCTTAAACTTTATTGGGAGACCGCAAATTCTTCAAAATGTTTCGAAAAACGTTTGAATCAGAACTTCTGTCACAAATATATTTTGTAAAATATCTGCACACACCAAAAATGTTTTAAAATCAACATTCTGAAAACTTAGAACGCGAATTAATTTATTTATCCCCGTTTATGTCGACCCCAGTCTACGTTTGACAACGCCCCTACTTTCAAACCCACTATTCTATTTAAAACTCAAAAACGTTTAACCATTCCCCACCTCGGCCCCCAAACCTCGTCCTACTTTACCAACCACCCCCCCCCCCCCCCCCACAATTAATCCCGTCCCATTTTACTCCCACAACACGCGCTACCCCCACCACTTACCCTACCACCCTCACCTCACGGTAGGGTTCCCGCACCGGAGTTCCATGGATAATAATCGATTATAAGGAAAATTGTTGCCTAAATTGTTGTCATTATAATCCATTATTGTGGCAAATTTAGACGAAATCGATTATTTTGTCATTATAATCAATTGTTTTCGAAATGATTTAAAAAAATAATGGATTATAATTCATTTTTGATGGATTATAACTGAATATGTTTGTAATTTTATAGATACTGACTATAAAATGACAATATAATCGATTATTATCCATGGAACTCCAGTGCGGGTAGTGGTGGGGTAGGGGATGTTTTGGGAGGAAATTGGGGAGGGATTTATCGGGGGAGTGAATGTAGGAGGCGGTGGCCGATAATTGGGGGATTGGAGAGGGGGGATGTTAAAATCTTAAGCTGAATCAAACCCCACCCCCTCCCCGTAGAATCAGTCCCCCCTTAACCATTAAATACCCCTCCCCCTGTTGAAGTGAGGTGGGGGGTGGGGGGGGGGGGGAATAGTGTGGCGGGCCAAACAGTGCCTTAAATTGCCAAATGGTAGGCCGACCAAACGGTGACTCAAAAACAATTTTTACGGTTTTTCATGCGGCTATTGTCTAAAAAAGAATCATCCATCATATCACGGATTTTCTAGGATTTTCTCGAGGGGGGGCGGATTTAAAAAAAAAATTTCGAAAGTTTTGTCGAACGGCCTTTTTTTTAGCTCGACCAAACTGATTTTCCGAGCTCTCCTAAAAATAGGTCAAAAAAGCCGTTTTTGGGCTTTTTTGGTAAGTTTTGACAAAAAAAAATTGCGGTTTTTTTGGCGCGCTCTCCCCCGCAAAGTTAGTATATATTGGTGCCGAAAACGCCTTTAGAAAAATTTTAGGGTCGGTCGGCCAAAAATGAATTTCTAAAAAAAAACCAAGGGGGACCCTTTGGGTCGGCAGGGGGTCGAATCCCTGAGAAGGGAAAGAGCGTCCGAGCAAGCGACCCCCCCCCCCCTAAATCCACACCTGCATCATATGTCAATTTTCAACCGTGAGTTTTGATTAGTTGAAATGAATTAGTTGTAATGAATCATAACCGTGAATTTTGATTATGAGTAAAACTTGATAAACGTGAACAAAAAACTTCCTTCATTTTCTTTCTTGAAAATTGAAAGTTCTAGCCGTGACTGTCTTAAAGAAAATTGGTCCGCTCAAACCAAAAACAAATGGTAAGCCCAAAAATATTTGACAAATATCATGAAAATAAAAGCTGTAAGCTATTGCGAGAAGATCTAAAAAAACTGCATGATTGCTGATTGACCGCAAAGAATTGCGTTTTCATTAATGTTTGCTTGCGTTAAACGTTCAGATTGGAAAAGAAGCCGGAGAGTCCACTGATTCTGGAGTATGTGTGGACACTTCACCCAGAACAGAGTTCACCTCTTCGTCCAGATACCCCCCCAAGGCAGTGGTGAAGACGGACCTGAAACAGAACCCCCTCTTCAATAAACAGCAGAAGGAGCACAACGAAGCTGTCAACGACAATAAGGCTCTCAGAGCTGTCAAGGCGAACAGTTTCACTGAGGAAATGTCTTCGTCCTGTCAGAGATCGAAGTCGTTTCCGCTCAAACGAGCAACCATCGACAAGTAAGATCATTTCCCATTTTGCAGACCAGGTCAACATAAAATCTGCTAGTGCCATTTTGCTTTTAATTCACGTGTTTGTGAGTTGCACATGAAAAACAGTCAAAAACGTGTTCTGAAATGATTCAAGAAAGCAAACTTGATGCCATGTTGTGGTGTGGTGTGCAGACCCAATCAGAAAACTATTCGTTGGTGTGAGTGTTTCATAGGCTGAAAATGAGGTGTCGGTGGTTTCTGAGTGCTCCTCCATCCCTTGAAGCCCCCTAAGGTGCCACTTCGACCCCCATCATTCAGACTTGCCTCTACTTTCTTTTAGGATCAAAGAAGGGTAACTTCAGAATCACTCAGCGGCTAATCATCATTAATCATGTGCCTTATCATACCTTGCGCGCGCAAAAGCCAATTACAGCTATAAATGTCCATGATATAATTGAAACCTGAAATCAAGCTAAGAAATTCGCCCAGACCAGAAACTTAGCCGACCTTTAAGCATTTTTGTTTGGTTTACTCCAAAGTCTTTCTTTTTCTGTAAGCAAAATTTAAAAAAAAAACTAAGCCAAACAATTCAACCGTACTGCATCGCTAAAGTATGTTTTTACACATCAAAAACTTAATTTGAATAGAACTCGACCAACTGATGAAAAAAAACCCAGGAAGTAAGTGCAAGTTTAAAAATGAACACACAAGTTCAAGAAAGAAGGTAGCGTTTTTTATCGTTTGAAGGTCTTCGTTTTGACATAATGATTCAAATAAGTTTTTAAGAAGGATACAGTACCTTCCACTAAACTCAGAAAATCTTCAAGACTGTTTTGACACTCAAACCCACAAAAACGTGAGGAAAATTAAATATAAATGATTTCATTATCTTCTATCGGAATTTTATTCGTTATATTCCGTTTTCAGTTAAGTTTAAATTTATATCATTATTAGATTTCCTGAAAGCTTAGTAAAAATTTAACACGTCATAAGTTTTTTGATTTTGGGTTATCTTATCGTCTAAACTAGCTTGTTGTCCGGATAGAACAGCTGCAGGGAAAGGTTGGTGCTAAAAACATTATGGATGAAATAAGAGATTGTTGAGCTTTTCTGATGTCTGTTTAACGTTCTGTGATCATATGCTTGAAATTGGATGTTTGGCTACTTGCTCATATCTTACTTGTTGCAAGCCCTCAACAGAGTAGAATTATAGACGCTCAAAGTATTACAACTCGCGTGATACGGTAAGCTTAGCATGTTTGATGCATGTTGATCAACCCGGATTCGGTCATTGTGAAATGGTACTCTACTTATTCACCACTAAGAGGATAAGAAGTAAGAAATGAATTAATTGCAAAATTAAAGCATTAAGAAGTAAGAGATCATTCTCTCCGCCGGAGAGAATGAACGTATCAAGGTCACATCATGAAACACCTGTTATATAAGTTAGATTAAGTTATTTAAAAAAAAGCTGAATCACAGCATTCCTCGTAACAAGAAAAATATACATTGCTAAGGTAATCGAAAATTGCTCCTTTTCTCGAGGGAAAATCAATGAAAATTTAGGACAACGATAACTAACTTGGTATAAAAACCACTGAAGCTTAGCACTAACGTAAGATTAAGAGTTTGAAACTAAGAGCCTAATTAATGCAGTGAAATGAATCATCAATGAAAATCTAAGTTGGGGTTTTAATCCGAAGGATTTGCAATTGAAAACTTTGAATGAAAACTAACTAAAACTGTGAATAAAAAATGCCAATGGATAGCGCTGGTGAGGAAATTTAAGCAATCAATTTTGTTTGGAAAGAAAAGAGAGAGTTTAAGTTTTAGTTTTTGTTTTTTGTATAAATAATTCAAATTCTGCGTGGAAAAAATCTTTCTATGTGGGCATTGTCATCAAAGACTTTAATGGCTATTCATAGGGACTGGTCGATTGAAGAGAGGGGTTAAAAGTCTGATGTGGCGTTATTCGAAATTGCGGCAAAGTCATCCGAAGGATTCAAGTAGTCTGTGACTGATTGTGACTCGTTTGTGGAATTGTGGTCCAGTAAGATGGGGTTGCTGTCGATCTGGAGGGTTCGATTATCTGATCTACAATATCTATTAAAAAACTTTTTCACATACTATTTTGGCACACCTACATTTCGTCTTGACTATGTAATAGCGTTTCTTTGCCGGATTGAGCGGTCTTCTCTTGTTCCGTTGTATCCTCATCAGACGAGTTGACGATCTTGTAGATTGGGAAAATCACTGAGGGTTCTTATGCTTATTTCAGCGTATCCTTGTCCGGCGGGTTGGTGGGGAGTTTGAATATTTGTACTAATTCAGGATGTGATGTAGATGGACCTTGTCTCGATTTGGCGAGGATGATAATTATAGAGCATTCTGAAGTTTAGACATCGATAGTCTGTTCGTCGTAAATCTCATAATTGATGTTATCCTGAGTAAAAAAGAGATTTAGCAGACTCTGGCTCATTAATGTGGTCCGAAACAAAGCGCTCCCAGTCATATTTCTACAGGTTTAACTCCAGCTATCCATTCCCAATAGCTAATATGAGCAGAGTCGGATTTTAGTTAGGCGATGTCTGAAGTTCTGATGATGTTTCCGTCGGATCATTCAACTGTAGTTTTAGATGCGTTTGTTTTTTTTTGTTATTTTTTTTGTAAAATTGATTTCCATCAGTGCTCGTTTTGGTTTTTCGAAGGATAATACCTTGAAATGCCTTTTGTATTAAGATATTTGATGAAGGTTGTTTGAGGGAGAAGGGTATTCTGGTCCTTATTCCCTCTTCCAGATGGAATTGGTTCTTATTCGAGGTCACCGTGTCCCTGTAGCTATCCTCGATGCGGTTGTCTGCATTACAGTCTAGGGTGCTTCCCTTGCTTAAAGTTGATTTCTCTTTCTTTGAAGTTCCATAGGATCTTTTACTAGAAGCTACTGGTTTTCATATAGTGTTGCGTTTTTTGTTAAGATGAATTTCAAAAGGAGAGCACTTACTTTTTGGTTGAGATGCTGATTTAAACTTCCAAAAAGTTTCAGAGGTTTTTTCTTGAGCCATTGCTAAAGATTCAATTTTTACAGTACGTACCAGTTTTGTTAACTAAACCGTTGGAGACGGATTAATTACAATTTCGTTTGTGCTGTTTTTACGGTATAACAGTTTTAAAATCCAGAAGAGAATTAATTAAACTCCAATTAGGAAAAAAAAAGTTTTAAAAATAACGAATTTGAAACAAACACGATTGTCGACGCGGACATAGCGGTATGCCAAACGAAATCTAAAGAGTCATAGATTCAACGATTGGTTTTATCCCAATCAGAAAATGGTCTTTGGACGTTATTTTAATTGCATCCAGAGGAAGCTTCCTAGAACATAGAACACTTTTTTGTTTTCGATTTCTGACAGTTACAATTTAACCGTTATATGGCCAAAATACAAACTTTATGAAAAAAAAAGATCAGCTAGATTTGATTTTTCGAAATCGGGAGTTTTTCCTTCGGTGAAAAAAATCACATCAATTAAAGATTTACGTTTTCCGAAAAAAATCAATTAAATAAGATCATGTTTTGCTTCTACCAATCAAAACATCGGGTTTGTCGCAAATTTAGCATCATTAAAAATCCAATACGCCCCCTGTTGAACATTCTTTATGGATACCATTTCTTCGTCAAATCGTCAAATTGCTTTTGTTCTCGGTTGTTTGTTTCGGGTCGTGCTGTCTGTTTTCTGAGTTTGACTCGTTGTCTGTCGGTTTCGTGAATACAGGTGGTTGTGGACGATGTCTTTTGCCATATCTACATTCTCGTTAGTGATCACCGCAAGTTGAAGAAAATTGCTCCACTCTTCCCTGGGAATTGGTGAGTTCACAGTACGGTTTTCACAGTAAAAAGTAAGATGTTGATTAATTTCAAAATTAAAGCATTGAGAAGTAAGAGAGCATTCTTTCCGCCGGAGATAAGGAGCGTAAGAAGGTCACATCGTTAATTAAGATAGATTATTTTTATTTAGAATAGTTTTTAAGTCACAACAATCATAGACAAGTCAACCAGTGTGTAGTGCAACTTTTAGCAAAAAATTTAAAAAAAAAATTTTTTTTTTGAATTGTTTAAATTATCTTTGAACAAAAACGTTTTTGAAACTTTTTTAGTAAGCTGGCCTGAGAATCAACTTCATTTACAAGTTTTCCCTCAAAATTTTCTAACATAAGTTACGAGGCAAAAAAAATGTCCCAGAAGTCTTTCAATAAGTTCTAAAATATGGGATTTCTTTTAGTAGGTAGTGTTCCAAATCCGGAAAGTAAGGCGACCGACAGCGGACAGAGTATATCGATGAAAACAAATGCAAAATTATTTCATCAGTCAACTAATTGTTTGCATAACTCGAAGACTCGTAACTATGAATGCACTTAACTATACGCAAAAAGTTAGAGATTGAATGCATTTTTATGTTTTAGCACAAACATGGTAATCTATCAGATGAATTAAGAGCTCTAGTAGAAACAGTTATTATAAAAATCGATTATGGTCTAATTGAAAAGCACTCAACGCAATTTTTTAATATATATTTTTTTTCAAAAAACGGCCTTTTTGAAGAGCTGTGAATTGTTTTTGATCTAGTTCGAGAAAAACCAACGCTGTAAATTTTTAAGAATTGAGAAGATAAAGTAATTATGATGTGCAAAGTAATTATGATGTGCGACGGTTTATGCTGCTGGTTGCGCCATGTACAAAAATCCGTGTAAAGTCTCAGATAGACAACTAAGGAAGGTTAGTTAATTTAGAGGTGTGATAAAAAGATAATAACTAAGCTGATATAAATGTAAAAATTAAGATTAAAATAGAGTTAAAAGATATGTGGAATTATCAAACATTTGATTTACGTATCTATAAGCTAACAAATGTACAGATGTGCAAGCAAAGCAGCCTTGCTCGTTTATAGGCCAAAAAATTATCATTTGAACATAACGTGCCGTGAGGAGGGAAACTTTTTGAAAAAGAACAAAAGAACATTTCCAAATCCAAACATAAGTTTTGTTTCATTCTGAAGCAAACATTTATTTTTTTTTGTTTTGCAAAACAAAAAAATACAAATTAGCCGACTTGTTCTGCTTAAATTGAATCTGAACGTTAAGGTCGCACATGTACTTCACTAATGTTCACAGCTGCTTCCTGCAGTGAAAAGAAAAGTTGTCCAGTCAAGATTCCAGTCAGTTTTTTTAATTTCAGCCACGATATCAAACGCAGGAATGGACAGCGTCCGAGTACAACCGACAACGTCCAGTTTCGTCTCGAAGACACGATTCCCAAAATAGCCAACTGCAAAGTATACCGGACAGGGAAAGGAGCCGTCTCGTCCAACTCGAGTGGTTTCAACGACATCGAAACGAGTGAACAAAACCCGAGTGACGGAGTGTACGATGTTGCTGACGAGGACGACGAAGACGAAGGCGAAGGCGAGCGGTGCAACCGGGACACAGTCGTGCGAGGGGGAAGGAATGACCCCGAGGATTCCGGAGACGACAATAGCGATGAGGAGGACTACTTTGGAGGAGGCCAGCGGAACGACACTGTGTGTGACAGCAGGTCAGGTGCCGAGGAAGTTGATGGCACGGCACCCCTTCCCGCGATCAGAAGGTATGTAAATGAAATATATCTCAAGTATCATTACGAAGTATATAATGTCCTACCAAAAAAACAAATGAAAATTTCTGTAAAACTTAATCCTTGCATTTATTTATAATTGCTTCCTTTGGTGTGTGAGATTTTACTTCAAGGGAAATTTTTTTTGATGGGACGTTACTATATCACAAAAGACAGCTTGTAGCCTGAAGGATTTTTAATATTACAGAAACTTTGATTTTAAAGAAACATTGCTTGTAATACCTCTTGGAAAGTTCAGTAGTCTGGGATTTTTCAAAGAAACTGCAGCAAAAAATCGTAGTTTAAGCAAAATAGTTGTATGATGAAGTGCTTCTCGGAAGACGTTATTGTGCAGGTTAAAAGCTTTTTTTTTTATTTTTGCGTAGCGCAAAAACCCATGTTTTCAAAAAAATCCCAAGTAATTTTTACACTTTAAAAATATCGTTCAATAATTTCCATCTATTTAAAAAAAAGTGAGGTGGATTAGTTGACTAGGTACAAAAATCGTATTTGGTGAACATTCAAATTATAGTCATTTATATTCTGGTGGATTTTTTAAACTTCGTATCATAAGCTGGGGAGGGAGGAAGGGAGGAAGGGGGGGTGAGATATCAACAAAAAACTAAAAAACAAAAAACTCCTAACCCTAAGATTATAACGATGGATATGAGTTATGTCCGTTTGGTTAACTCATAGAGTAATTTCGGATAGGGTACACCGTCTGCTCGTCACGCTATCTTATTTTGGGCCGGATAGATTCGTGCAACTTCTTAGTCTAATACCGATCCTAATCTTACTCTTATATCTACTAGTCTCAGGGTGTTTAACTAGTCTCTGCTAGGCTCAATAGATCTAGAGTATATTAGCGATTATTGCGATTGCTAAAGTTCTCTTGGAGAGGTAACTAATTTCTAAGTTAAATTTAAATGTCTCTGGTGCTCGATTATTGCGATTGCTAAAGTTCTCTTGGAGAGGTAACTAATTTCTAAGTTAAATTCAAATGTCTCTGGTGCTGAAACTACAAGTAATTTCAGCACTTACAAATAAGTGGTTTGTTAGTTAGATGGATCATGATTGGTTAAAATTAAATATTTTATAGTGATAAAATATCAAATTTATAACCAAAAATTAAAGTTATAGTTTAGATCAGGTTCCACCCATCTGGGGTTTACAGAGTTTTAGTTTTATCTTCCTTTCTGTAATTGAAGGATGGATGATGATCGTTGGTATTTGGCGAACACAATTATCTTATTCTTGTTCCTTGGAGAAGAGAACTCCAGGAAGCTAGAGTCGTCGACATAGTTTCTCTTAGAGAACAACGGTCCATGATGTTGGATTCATGGATATGAAGTTATTGTCTTGTCTTTCGACAACGACCGTGATCCCCAATGAAATCAATCCGATTTCAAGATGATTTGCTATGTCAGGTTGTTTTGTCTTAGTTGAAAACTGTCTGTGTTCACTCTCGTCTGGGAATGGCGTGAAGATCGTGTTTGGAGGGAATGCCTTGTAATTTGGATCTGTACGTATACTTGAGCATCGAGGTGGTCATTGGTCTGATTCAATGAAGTCCTTTTCTGCGAAGTCAAATCGTTTTTTAAATCCTTTAAGTCGTGGATGTGAGCGGCATGTAGATTGTGTTTAGCCATTCTGTAGATAAAGTGTCATGGGGTCAACTAGTCTTTGGATGTTCGTCTTTGTATTCGTGTGTGATCTATATACTGCATATTATGATTTACATTTTTATAAAATTTGGTTAATTTAGTTTTTTAGTTATGATCTTAATTAGTTGTTTTCACAAAAGCGTTTTTGTTTTAGTTCAGTTATTTTGAAGATTTACTCACCCTTGAGTACCTCTTAGTAAAAATAAAGTGTGGTCACAAAGCGTGGATGTAGCACGCTGGGTTAGGCCGGCTATAGAGCATGCTCAGGACATCCTCTCTTACGGGTTAGACCAGGAGTGGGAGTATGATATCATGCTTTTTCTCTAGGGGTCCTGCTTTGTGTTAACATTTTATATTGTGTTTTTTCTGGTTTTTCTTGTGTTTCTTTGGCTGTGTCCTTTCCTTTTTTCAAAAACCAAAATGTTTTTGGTTTGGGTTTGTCTTTCGACTTTTTGGTGTCTTATTATTTCTTTCTTAGACTTGGTAATCGTCTTCAAAAGAATAAATTATCCAGTTTTAAGCTGGTTTAATCCGGTTTGGGTACCGTAGGTTTTCTTTTCTTAGTCATGCTGTTAGTTTATGATTTATGGTGTTTTTTAAACTGAGTTGGTCAGTTTAGGTTAATATATAATTCCTTTCCAACCGGGTTAGAGAAAAGTTGGAAACTTGTCATCGCTTGTGTGATTTATTGTTAGTGAAAACTCAAAATTTAAAATCATTATTTTAAACAATTTTCGTGGGCGAGCTGTGCGATTGTGGATAGATTTCTCGTGCGAGTAAACGAAAAGATAGAAAAAGTTAGTACTACTGGCTTATTTCATAATTTTTACTGCTTAGAATTTGAATTTTACTACTGAGGAATTTTAAAATTATAAATTTTCATCGTTTTTTAATTTTACTACTCTGGGGGATTAATTTATTTGTTTGTGTATGAATTTTACCGCTTTATTCAGTGCATAAGATTTAATGATTATTATAATTTCAAGAATTTGTATTTTTATTTAGTTTTTTTTTCTTTTTTTTTACAGATGATTATGGTTTGAAGACTAAAAGAAACTGAACATCTATATAAAATGGTTAGTAGAGATTTAATTTAGTTAGTTGTAATACTTAATTTATATTTACCTAGTCGTCGGGGAAGAAACCATGTAGGAAAACGTCGTGAATAAGATCTGATGTTGTTAATAATTTAGCTAGCATGCGTATGACATTTTTAGTTTGCAACAGTGGTCAAAGCAATTGAAGTGCGTTTCTGGCGTTTAATTCTTCGGTGCCAACTGCGAATTCATGAGGTGTGTTTTGTATTAGATTGTATAGTTTATGATTGTATTTAGTATTATGAATGAATTCTAAAATAGGAAATTCGATAGGTTGGATGAATTCATGCGGTATGATGAAGGGTCGGGATTCTTCGTCATTCAAGGTTTTGGTGAGAGGTCAGAATATATGCGTCTGGGTAACTGGATCATAGTTGAGGAGGATGCCTTGAAGGTTAGTATCATTTATGCAGTATTTAAAGTTAAGAAAAAATAGTGAGGTATATTTAGAATTAATAAACTGAAATCGATATAGAGGTTGTCGTGATGGTGTATGTAAATGAAAATGATTTTGAATAAAACGAAAATATGTGTAAGTGTGCGTTTGTTTAGTTCGCAACATATTATCGTGGGAAAAGTGCAAATCACGTTCTTTTGGAGAAAGAAAATGAAAAGTTAATGAAATTATAATAAGCGGTCCAATGAAGTGTAGGTATTAAAACATTCTCATCTACAAAGTTTCGCAATTCTGTGTTAGTGTCAGATTGATTTAGGGTGTATTGTGGAAATAAAGGTAGGGTTATTTGAAGATAATTTGCAGTGTTGGTATGGTCTGGATGATTGATATATTCTCTGGCGGTTCCGGGTTTTGATGGAAATGGATGATTAGGAAATTTTCCTTTAAAGGTTCTATAAGCTCGATTAGTGCTAGTGGATGTTTCTGTTGACATGAAAGATTAGCTAGTGATGGTGTATAATCTGATAGTTGTGTAGTTGTTGGTGGATTTGATGGTGTTACTGTTGATGATAATCGGTGAATAGTGAGGGTGTGGGGGTATTGTAACTGTTGATGTAGGGTTATAAAATTATCAAGTTCTTCAGAAAGTTCAATGTTATCTGGGGAGTTATTGTTGGAACTTTCGGAATTAAATGGGGAATAGGTTGGGGTTATTTGTGATATATGAGAAGGAGTGGAGGGGGATGGAAATTGGTTATGGGATTTGAAGGGTTGAAAGGGGCTTTCGAAAAATTTGGAGATGTGGTCTGGGTATAGGTGGAAGGGGATGGTTTGGAGTCGGCGAATACGACGGGAGTTTCTACATCTGAATTATTGAATTGTGATACTGTGTGAAAACTGAGATGTCTGAGTTAGTATCAGAATTCATGCCTGATGATGTATTAATGTGGTGAATCGGGTGGCGGAAAAGCGAAAAGAGGGATAACGGGGATTTGAGTTTGGAGGTCGGCTGGATGGGAGTTTGAGCGGTGGAGGGATGTATTTGTGTTACTGTGTTCTTTGTCGTATGTATTTGGTCTTGTAGATAATTTTGTATTGTATTCCCTTGATTTGTGGATCTAAGAGTATTTTATTTATTGATGTTGAGAATATTACAAAGAAACCTGCAAGTAGTGTAGTGTGTGTGTATTGCACATGTAATATAGATTCCTTTTAGTAGTGAAAAAATAAATCCAAAAAAATTGAACATAGCGTATAGATAGTCAATCTATCTAAGATGTAATATGGCCATCCTAGAAAGGCAAGGATTTCGTTTTTCAGGGTTACAAAATTGAAAATATTAATGGGTGAAAAATCTTGTGGTCTATATTTTTCACCATTTAAATAAATGTAGTCTTTGATATCTTCAAAACATCCACTCTAGTCTTGTGTATAAATGTCTGAGAAACCTGCGGTTTCTGCAAGTTTTCTTAAATTTTGATCTATTGACTGTCGTTGTATAGTGTCAATTTAAGTTAGTAGTTCCTGAAACTGTTGTGTTCTAATGAGATGTTGCATATCCGATTTTGAATATATTCCTATCGATTGTAAATCGATGTTGGGATTGCGAGCGGTGGCTCGAATACTTTCCGGTGAAAACTTTTCCAATCGTTGCATTAATGTAGGGTATTGTGTTAGTAAATAATATTTCTATTTGTCAAGGTTTAAGTGTACTACTTTGTGGCTATTTTCTGAACCAAATGGGACTGCGGTATCTCAAAAATAAGTTCGTCTTGAAAGTGTGTCAACAAAATGTACTTAATTTTTATAGAATTTGGGAATTCTTTATAACATCTT